GTGTCGCTTCTTTCAGTTTTTCGAATTGTTTACCGAAACAAATGCAGTTTTTTGTCCTTTTGGTTCTCATAGAAAATAATGGGGCTAATGGGTGATAGAATTATCATTTTTCCCGCGGACGATTCCTCTGAAGGCTTATTGCAGAACACGGACGAGCACTCTTGCTCTACTTGTAGCATTGTCGCATTATAAGCGATTCATTTTCGACTTTTAATCAATTATCGTCACTGTATTGAGTCCTCCCTCAGTCTCTGCTCTCCTCTCCCAGCTTCGCGCACATGTCTGCAATTTTTGTAAGGTGCTGTTCTTTCACGACGACGATGCCACGGGCAGCCCGGGTCCTATAATAAACTACACCATTCCCATATCGGTCCCTTCGTCTTCTCGTGGAGTGGCTCTTCAGAATGACTGGAGTCTGTTGGTGATTCGGGTCCTTTGAGGTAATCGATTCTGGTTCCTGATTTTGTTGAGAAAAGGCTCACCAACCTGTGCAAACACTTCTTGTTGTGTAGATATAGTAATGCACATGCGACGTCACCAGCGTAGGCAAATCGTATTTCGCTTGACAGCTGAATTAGGTTCATTTATGTTGAGCATTCTTCTAAAGAGATGTTAGAGCGTACTTCAGGATTTTTTCTTATGTACTCATCAAGGGGTCCACCATGAACCAGCTCCATCACTATCATTACGTCAACGCTGCCGTCATCTACGATTCCATAGAACGCAACGATATTTCTGAACAGTCGAAATCATGCACTTAAAGACGGTGAACACGATTGCTGGAGGCGGAGCGATTTTCGTGACGTCGATGTGTATGATTAGTGGAGGAGTGTCGGGGTGGTGGTAACAAACCTTGGGTACCCGGCTGGAGGCCCGTCGCGCGGCAACAAGGTAGAGTCAGCGGACGAGTTGCAGCGCGTACTGTAGTGATTTCGCGTCAAGTTAAATAGAATGTCCATTGTACGTCCTACATCGCACATCACGCGCTGCGACTCGTCCGCTGACTCTGCCTTCTTGCCGCGCGATGAGGCCTCCTGACGGGTACTCAGCAGACCTTCGACCGTGCTCAGGAGCTTGATCCACCAATGATGTCCAGTGATGTCATCAAACCGCTGCACCCTCCAGCTATCATGTTCATGCCTTTAGGTTCAAGAAGCACGTTCCGGAGGGAATGGCAGCATAGGTTTTGTCATCGAAGGCGAAAGTTACGCGGTGGGTGTGTGGGCACAACTGTTCAGTAACACCGAACTATCGAGTCAGACGAAGAGGTCGTATTTGATCTACTGGGGTCATATTCTTGGATGACATTGGAAGGGAAAGTTTCGGAGTAGGGGGAAATCCCTACAGAACTTAGAGATGGTTCGCAAACATTGACGTCTAAGCAGTTTTACTATCCACTCGACACACTTCTGGAGTCAGTGGGGCGAGTTTTGAAAAGTGTCAGCTTGAATCAGATGACTATCAACACCGTCAACCATCGGATTTGGGGGGATGGGGTCCTATATCTGAAAAGGTTACCCAGCACGGTCTACCCTGCTGTATTGTTGCTACTGCGTCCCTGCGTTGCCAGAGCAGAGTGTTCTTTTCTATTCTACACACACCAACGGAAAGCGCAAAGGCCAAAAGGCCAAAACTGATCCTCAATTTCGAGAAAAC